CCACTGATTAGCCTAATTCCATGCCATTTATAGACAGTGAGTATCAGCCTGAGATTGGCTTTTCCAAATGGTGGCCCAGAGGGTGGCATGTTCATGGTTTCCGTTTGAAAAAAGCCCAGTAAGCTAGACTGTGATCCAGGAGGGGAGACGGAACCCACTTTAGGGCTGCCTATACTTATATATCAGTTGTTCTGTCCGCAAGTCCTTCTCACCTATGGGAGGAGATAGAGACCACAAAAAGATGTTTCCCAATTCAGGCCATGCCTAAATCTTGACCTAGAAAGAGAGCCATGTTCTTTTGATAGTCCATGTTGTTGATCCCTTCTAGCAAGGGGTAGCAACAGGAGTAGTATACACCTGAACTTTGGGATTCTTGGAGACAGAAGCCTCAGTCAAACTCTACCTGGCTGAGCAGGACTCTGACATTCTGCTGAGATTCTCTTGTCTTGCCACTACTGAAGGGCTTGATCTTCTATGTGTCCTCAAGCTGTTGTCTGGTTTAGAGCCCCTTGGAATTTGAATGCCCAATAATAATTGCCTGAAGACTCCTTCTGTCAGCTCCCCAGCCCCTCCAGGATGTTGACTTCCCTAAGATCAGGCCCCTACATCTTGGATGGCCAATCTCTTTTGCTGTGGTTTGAGCAAGATGTGGTTCCTGAATTCAAAAGACAATCAAATCCCAAAGTTATCAAATTGATGGTATTAAGAGTATGGGGATTTAATCCAGTTGTGTTGTTCAGAAAGGCAGTTCTTGGGACAAAGTTGGTTATAAAAAGCTGAGTTGGGCCAAGCCACTCGTTCTGTTTTCTGGCTTTCATGAGATCTTTCTTCCACACACACACTGCATGACTGCCATACTCTGGCCTCACCACACAACTGAACTAATGGAAACTGCCCAGTCATAGACTGTGACCCTCTAAAATCATGAGTCAAATTAAACTTCCTTCCTTCATAAGTAGTTTGTCTATACCGAAGAAAACTAATTAATGTACATATCCTACCACTGCAGGGGCTAACTCCAAAGTTAGTGTTATTCACCTGGGTTTCTATCCTCTCCTGACAATTTTCTGGAAAAGGACTCAGCTTGCTTATACATATCATACCTGGGTCATGATCACAGGAAGTCGGCTAAGTGAAAATACTTGCTCTCAGACACTGTGGAACTTCTAGATAACTTTAAGAAGAGGAAGCACAAAAAATGGCCCAAGGAAATAAATTGGGGATGAAAGGTAGGGGGTGTATCATTGCAGATGGTTCAGGAAATAGAATTTTCAAAAGATCTGACTAAATATTTCAGACTTTATTTAGTATCCAACTGGAAACCACCAAAGCTTTGGGCAGGAGCGTGGCAGAATCAGAACTGTGCTTCAGAAGCAAAATCTGGTATAATAGTAATGATCATTATCACTGTAATAGTGATAAGTAACATCTGGGGGGCATTCACACAGTACAAAGCATTTGGTAAACATGCATGTGGCAGGATGTCTCCAGGGAGATAAGTTTGGAGGCACAGTGCAGGAGAAAGAAGGTGAATGAAGCCTGAGCAGTCTTAGCAGGGTTGCCAAGGAGAGTATGCATCAGGGCATGGACTGAGCATTCCTGGCACCAGGGAAGCTCTAGGCACAGAGGGAAGGGAAGGGACAATAGCTCTAGCTAGGAGACTGGAAGGATGGAGCTTATTTCTGCGTCTAGATGAGGCTACACTCCAACCCCAAGAACTCAGTCAAAATGCCACTTCAAGCTCATGAAAACCTTTGGGGAAAAATAGGCTTATGAGACAAGGCAGCTCTCCTAGGAAGACTTACTCTCCGACATTCTCCTCTGGTCCCTCCAACCTAGAACCTGCTGGTTGCAGTGAGAAGAAAGGGACCTGGAGAACAGGCAGTCTTTCCTGGCACTGACAAGCGTGCCTTCTTGGTGGAGATCTGTTGGGATGTGTATCCTCCACATAGGGAAGAAGTCCCACTATGGGTTTTACTTATTTGTTTGTTTATCTATTTATTTAATTCGTTCATTTATTCATTTATTTAGGAAAGGCAGATTTACAGAGAGAAGGAGAGACAGAAAGAAAGGACTTCCATCCACTGGTTTATTCCCTAGATGGTCACAATAGCTGGAGCTGAGATCATCTGAAGCCAGGAGTCAGGAGTTTTTTCCAAGTCTCCCACAGGTACAGGGTCCTAAGGACTTGGGCCATCCTCCACTGCTTTCCTAGATGATAAGCAAGAAGCTAGATGGGAGTGGAGCAGCTAGGGCACAAACTGGTCCCCTGTGGGATGCTGGTGCTTGAAGGTGGAGGACTAGCTAATTGAGACATCATGCCAACCCTGGAAACCCTGGTTTTCACCCATGTGTATGTTTCTCTGTTCTGTTAGAACCACTGCAGTGGGCTCTAAGCTCCTGGCAACCAAAGCCCACAGGTGATATTCAGGGCAACTTGCTCCGAGACATAAACCCTCCGTCCTGGTCAGGAGGGCTTCCCACTCCAATCAATTGTCAGCCGGTGCTCCACAAGCTCTGCTTGTGTCCAACCTCCTTTGTACCAACAGGAATATTTTCATCTGGTTCCCTTGGACCAGTCCAAAACCTAGGCTAGCCTTCACAGCTCAGCTCAAGTCTTCCTTTGGAAATTCTACAACAGTGCTTCACAGAACTACCGGGAAGGCTCAGAGTGACAAGAGAACTTAAGACCATTGGCTCAACTCTTTCAACTCTGGAAAAGGAAAACCTAAGGCCTGGTGAAGACAGAATGCCTGTGACTAGAATCCAGGTCTGTAGCATGCCCATGAACTTTACAGCTCTGCTTTAGTTCACATATCCACGTCAAGGCTTGTGATGCTGTCTGCAGCGGCAATGACTTCTGCATCTGAGTATTTTTCACAGTGCCTGGCACAGAATAGGTGGGCTGAAGATGTCCCAGGAAATGGAATCTGCAGCAGCCCCAAGCTCAGGAAGGCAACAGGTCCCAAGGAAAGGCAGGACACAGGTGAAGGGAAAAACAAACAAATATTAAAAAAAAAATTAAAAAACCCTCTTTCTAACAAGTCTCCACTACTGTGGGATGCAAGCCAAGCCCAGAAACTAGGCTGGCAGGTGGAATAGATCAGATGACGCATTCAAAGGAGATTTCGACATCTGAAAGATTTCTGCATCCAGTATCAGTGCCCTAGCCCACAGTCCCCTGGGAGTGTGCCTTCAAGAGGCTGGTAGCAGGGGTCGTGCTGAGGTCACTTCCAGCCCGAGGGCATTGGTAAGAGTAGTGGTAGTGGTGGCAGCAGGGAGAAGAGTTTTATTTTAAAGCTTAATCTTCCGATTTCGAAAGCTAAAAGAATGTTCATCTAATTTCATTAAGAAGACTGAAAGCTTGGTACAGAGTTTTGATTAAGGTCATATAACACATCAGGGCCATAGCCACAACACAGCTTTAGACCTGTTGTTCCAAACCAGAGTTCTTCACAGGATAACTCTCCTTAAATAATCCTCATTGGAGTAACTAGGAGTGTACCTTGTTAGAGTTAAATTGTCAGCAATGATCTCTACCTGGTTTTGCAAAATATCAAAACTCAGTTACTAGGGCTGGCACTGTAGTGGTGCAACATCAGCACCCCATATAGGTGCTGATTAATGTTATCATTGCTCCACTTCTGATCTAGCTTCCTGTCAATGGCCTGGGAAAAGCAACAGCAGCAGATGGCTCAAGTGCCACCCATATAGGAGACCCAGAAGAAGTTCACGGCTTTTTGGTTTCTTCCTGGCCCAGCTCCAGCTAGTGAGGCCATTTGGGGAGTGAACCAGTAGCTGCTTTACTCTCCCTAAGTTTGACTTTCAAACAAATAAATTAATCTTTAAAAAACCCTCAATTGCTGACAGGCTGATGATTCAGGTTTAGATAAAATTATTGGGTTCTACTCAAGAGTCCAAATGAAGAAGCCACCTGCCTGAAAACCCAAGACTCAAGAAGAGATTTATCTGGTTCCACAGTCCTTCCTTTCTCTGCTGGCTTACACTTGCTGCCTCTTCACTCAGAATATAGGAACAAAGAGGACAGACAGACCTTCTGGGAGGTCCAACAAGGGATCCATTGATACCTACAACTTGGTTGAGCCTCCTCTGCCCCTATGCTGCTGCTGGCGCTGGGAACACAAAGAGGATATGAGATCCAGAAGTGTGAATTTATAGGATGACTCCCAGGGAGAATTTAAAAGAACAGTTATAAGGGTTGGAAGAGAGACAAACTTAGTCTTTTAAATTCTGGAAGAAAAAAAAAAAAAGATTGGGAAGCAGTACAAGAAAGAGCTGGTGTGACAGAACAGGCTGGCAAAGTCCTGCTTTCAGATGTGAGTGCCACCAGCCACAGTCATCTGTGTGCTTGTATAGCACAGCACAATGCCTGGCACATAAAAGGCACTCAATAAAGACTTGCTGAGTCAGTGCACTAGCAAACTAGTGTCCCAAAGCGGAGCGAGATGCAGTTCCAGTGCATGTAGAGGAAGTTCCAGGACCAAGTGGGGTCTTGCCCCTCTCCATCTGCAGAAGGGACAGGAGGCAGCTGGCAGGTCTAGAAATGCTGACAGAGAAGGACAGAGCTTTCAGCCCCAACCTACTTCTCCATGGCAACGAGCTGACAGAAAACTGCATGGGAGACTGAGAAACCATTTTTAAAATAAAGACGCAAAACACTCTGAGTATAAAATCACACATGCAAAGCAACAGCTCCTGCTTCTTAGCCTCTTGGGAGCCACAGGCCCAATCATAGAGAACAGGACCTCTTTGCAACCTGCCCATTCCTCTGCCAAGGGCCCCGGGGCCTCCTGGCTGCTGTGTAATGCAGACAGAATTGTTCTTACTTGGAAATATGTGTTTCAGGGCATTGCATCAAGTCTGACAAACAATGGTAGAGGCTCTTTCAGGGTGGGATCTGGTCAGCTCCTATCTCTTATAGCTGTCCACAGTTGGCTTCATGTAGGCATGAAGTCTCATAGCAATGATGGCTGCGGCAAGGTGGGAAAGGAGGAAGAGATTACTTCCCTCCTGGGTCCCAATATTCAAATTTTGTTTCCACCTTCTCCAAGATGACTTAACTGTACCATCTCTTGGAAGCCCAAAACCCTTTGCTTACATATTCCACATAAAATGAATAGTCTTCTTTTTCATACAATTATGCTTATTTGTTTTACGCCCAAGTAGAGAACCTGGTAAAACCTCATGAACTGTTTTCTGAAGTGAGCCAACAGCATGAGAGTAGCTGGAGGTGAACTTTCCTCAGGTTATCTCTATCCAAAGCCTTGGGTACTCTGAGAGAGTGAAGGCAATGTTGTTTTTCCTCCTGCACTTGGATGACTTTTCTGTCAAGTCCAGCATGTGTTCTCCTCTACAACATTATAGATATCACTGTATGCAAGAAGATACTCCAAAGTAACTTGCACTAAGAATCCCAGATTCAAATGAAAAAGGTGGCTGATGCACAAATTCACAAAGTGAAGTTTTCCACAGTGACAGAGAGGTAGTGACACATCAGGGCTTGGGTATTCTAACTGGTTCATAGCTCTTTTCACAGTCTTTCAATGCTGTAGAGATCCCATCAAGATATTCTTCAGTTTGGGACAGAAGAGATTACACATTCCATTAAAATCAGAAGCATTCTGGATCACCTGCATTTCAAACCCCTGCAATGGAATGGAGTCCAGCTCTCTACTTCTGGGCAGAAAGCCACTGGCAACATTCTGGGCAGGGAAGTTAACCCTTAGTACTCATCAAAGTCTTTCAGTCTCTCAGGTACTGATAACTAACTGATGCCAAGGTCGTCCTGGCAGTTAGGATTTTATTGCCTCTAGGTTGCTGAGCTAACCTTAAGGGGAAAAAAAGAAGAATGGATGCAACACTGCAAACATTAGAGAAGCAGATCTGGAACAATTTGGCGAGGATACAGAGGGAAACTGGTGTGACTGGAGCACAGGCTTGCATAGAAAACCATTCTCTTTGGAATTGATTTGTCCTGTGATGTAAACCCAGCAGAAACAGAGCTCACAGAGACAGGAGAAACTCACAGGCCCACTGTTGGAGTTCTAATGATTTCTGGGCTTGTGTGCCAGAGTGGCATGAGTAAGGTCTGTTCAGATCTCAGCAACAACTTCCACCAGGACAGAAGGTGGAGGAAGGCTGGGGTGGGGGGTATATGCTTGTTGAAAACCCCAATGTGCAATAATTTGGCTGGCCCAACGAGACCAGCTGCTTGGTTCAAATACTAGCATAAATGTTTCTGTAAAGGTATTTTTTGGGATGTGATGAACATTTACAATTAGTTGCCATTAAGTAAAGCAGGTCATACTCTGTAAAGTTAGTGAGTCTGAGCCCATCAGTTGAATCCTGAAGGCAAACATTGAGGCTTTCCTAAGAAATTCTCACTCGACAGAAACATAGAAACTTTGAATTTTCAGCCTTTAGACTCAAGACTGCAACATCAGCTCTTATCTGAAACTCTGTAGGTTTTCTTCTAGAATCTGTACTTGCCAAGCCTCCACTAGTATGTATGCCAATTCCTTCTGCCATATATACATATATATACATATATAATCTATCTATCAATCTATCTATCTATCTACCTACTTACCTACCTACCTACCTATGGTAGAGACAGAGGTTGAGGTATAATGGCTCTACTTTCTGAAGCCCTCTGATGAACACAGACGAAGTTGGTTACTTTTGTCTTCTCTACCTAATTTAATTCTACAAATGATTTACGGAGGTAGATTTTTTCTATTCTGATGCCTATTTTCAGATAAGGTAAAGGGAAGCTAAGATAGGCAAGTCATTTGGTTCAAAGCCATGTATCAATTTCATCACATAGCCACAAGGAAGTAGAATTCTCTGAAGGAATGCTGTTCAATACTCCTGGTCAAAGCAGATGTTGCAGCTGATTCCTCCGACTTCTCCCCCTTGGGGATGCTGATGACAGCAAAAGATATGAGGGGCATGGATAATTTTGCTCATTCAAGCAGGAAGAGGACTTGATTCTACAAAGCACTCTGTCTCTGGACTTAGTTTTTTTTGTTGTTGTTTAAGATTTATTGATTTATTTGAAGTTAGAATTAAAGAGAGGGGGAAGAGGGGTATACAGAGAGATTTTTCTATCTACTGGTTCACTCTCCAGATGGTCATAAAGATAAGGGCTGGACCAGGTCAAATCTAGGAACCAGGAACTTCATCTGCATCTCGATGTGGGTCACAGGAACCCAAACACTTACGCTATCCTTCACTGCTTTTCCCAGGCACATTAATGGGCAGCGGGGTCAGAAGTGCAGCAACAGGGGCACCAATTGGTGCCCATATGGGATGTTAGTATTGGGGGATGGCAACTTTCCCATTATACCACAACACTGGACCCAGTTTTTTTCCTTTTAAACTTGATCCCCTTAGGGAAGATGATGATTTTTCAACTAATGCTCTTTCTCCTGAAGCCAAATCCAGGCTGCAAACTGATTCCTTTTGGCTGCTGAAGTGGGAAGTTTATGTACTCTGCTCACATAAGGAGTCCTAGAGGGGTTTCTCTGGGGATTCCTTGGCCCATCCTCTGATACCCTTGGGCCCATTCAGGTATCTGCTGGGGGAAGGGAGCACTTTTCTCTCCTAAAATATATGTGCCTAAGGATGGCTGAAACCCTCTTGTCCCAGAACCCAAGCAATAGCTTTGCTGACACAAGCCAGTATTTGCAGGAGCAAGCTTAAATTGCCGAGGACACTGCAAAGGAAATAATCTCAGCAATCCAAATACAGCTAAGAGCAACAAGGCTGTCAGAATGAGGTCTGTGACTCCGACAATTTCTCTCTCCAAAAGGCTGGCATATACCCCAGCAGCAGCCATTGCTCAGTATCCTTCCAGCAGTTTCCATTTGGCTGCTCTCTTGGTTCTTGCTGCAAAGGCATGACCACTGAGAGCAATATATGCAACATGTTAAGACACACATAAAAATATGCCAACGAGGGGCCAGCACTTGCCTTGGTAGTTAAGCTGATCATATCTAACATCCAAATACCTGAGTGAGGCTGGTCTCTGGCCCCTGGCTCCAGCTTAAAGCTAAAGCTGGCCCTGGGAGGCAGCAGAGATGACTCTGTCATTCATAAGAGAGACCTTGCTGCAGGCTTTTGGGAGCTTTTCTTTCTCTCTTTCTGCTCATCTCCGTATCTCAAATAAATAATGATTTTTTTTAAATAAAACAATGAATTGTCAAAATGCTAGTGCATAGCACACTGGTAAATGGCAAGATAGGCAAGTAGTCTGACACATCTGGCTCCTGCTACCATAGGCCTGGCCCACTACTCAGATGTGCTAAGGGGAATATTATCTTTGCCCCCTGGCTGGGAAATGCAGAGCCTTGTCTGAACAAGAAATTTAGGTTCAACTTTGCCTCCTACCTGGGCTAGCCCCACATTTGTGGGTTCTGATCTAAAGGTTATTCTTCCTTTTCAGCTAATGGGCTGGAATGTCAAGACAATGACTTCCCCTTCAGATGTGCTCTCCACTGGTCACCAGAGAGCAGCCTTACATGTGATAGACCAAAGGGTTCTTCAAGGACCAAAAGAGCTATGTTCCCCTAGTCCACTATCTCAGTGTCTGTCAAAAACCAGGGGACCCTCTCCTGTTCTGCTGCTGGTGCTACTGGGTCAACGTCTCCTGCATGCCTACACAGTTGCTGGAAGCTGTGGATCACCATCAGCCAGCACTCCAGTGAGAGGGCAATGGTAGTGGCCATAACAACTCACATGTACTGAGGGCGTATGATGTACTGGACACAAGTTCAAGCACATCACATGTACTAACTAATTAATTTTCATTGTAACCATTAAAGTTGGATCTTCTCACCATCATACAGAAATCTAAGAGAGAGATGAAATTATTTGCCCAATATTCCATAACTAGTAGCAGTAGGCTGGGTTTCAAACCCAGTCTAGCCCCATATTGTTTGATAATCTTGTGTTAAAGGTAGAAGAAGCTGTGATTTGAGCATTCAGCTATAAATCACACAGTTGGTTGCATTCTTTCTCAGGTTCTCCCCAGGAAGCACTGTGTTGCGAACAGCTCAGAATGAACTCAGGTGGGCTGGATGACCTCATTTGTCCTCTGACTTGAAAGGCCACACAACAAGGATTGGACGTCCACAGTCATAACAAAGGCTCTTCCAGCAGGTGACTGTGGATGGATGAGGTTTTTAAAATACTTTATACTACAACATTTCCTCTTTTCCTGGGAGGGCCAGGCTTGGGGCCTTGCAGGACAGCCTCTTATGACCAAGCATACCCTTGTTCCTGGGAGTGCTTGGACACTCTATGGGTGTGGCTTCCTGTGTGTCCACTCTGCTCCACACGCTGTGCTACACGTGATCTCATACATGAACCCACCTGTCACCAGGATTGGGTGAGACACAGGAAGCAGGGACTCCTAGCAGAAAGGACAAAGCCTTAGAGGAGTTTAGCCCTGCTAAATACCTGTGGGAATCTAGCAAATTTCTTAATCTCTAAGAGTGTCAATTTGCTCATCTGTAAAGCCAAAGAGCAAACAAAGAAATCCTTCTTTTCAAGGTGGTTATAAGAAAAATATGGAGTATAAAATTTTACAGCCCTTAAAGAAAACATTTACTAAGTACCTATAATATGCCAGGCTCTCTGCATACATTTCATTTATATTTCATAAAACTCCCACAAGATAGACACATTATTTGATATCCACTTTAGAGATAAGGAAATTGAGGGGCAGGGAGATGGAGTGCTTGGATGGTTCGACTGGCAGGATTTAAGCCCAAGCTGTGTTCACTCCTGAGATCTGGTGCTTCAGTGCCCTCTGTGATCTCTGTTCCTTCACCACATCATGTCTCCTGCATAGGTCTCTAAGTTTCATCTTAATGCTACAATGACAGTGCTCTTTCTAAAAAGCCAATCCAAAACCATTACTCCTCTGTATAAAATCCTTCCTCAGTTCCCTTGCTAGGGAGATCTTAAACTGTTTAGCATAGCATTCAAGGCCTGGGATTGACTCATGTTCAATCTCTTTTTCTGATCTGTTTCCCAGCCTGAATTCCACTAAAATTTAAATCCTAGACAGATGAATTCTTCCTTTATTGCTGTTGTTATTGGAAAAGAAGATTTACTGAAAAAGAGACAGAAAGATCTTTTTATCTTTCATTCTCCAAATGGCCACAATGGTTCAGATCTGGGCCAATAATCTGAAGCCAGGGGCTTCTTTCAGGTCTCCCATGGCAGTGCAGGGTTCCAAGGAC